TTTCCCTACTTCAAAGCTCCCTGCTGAGTATCTTTCAGAGAGTTGTGGGTAAAAGCAGTAGGTAAAGGCAATGAGAAATAAGCAGTAATATCTAGATCGTGTTGTTGAGTGTAATAGTCATTATTTCAAGAATAAACTGTAATGAGGACTTTTATTTGGGAACTTCACAAAGGCCATCACTAAACTTCTCTCCTGACTTATAAACTTTAAAGAGCAAAGAATGTTCATCTGTGCTACCGAGCGCAGGAAATAGCCCATGAGAATAACACAAATTGAAACCCAAACGTGCCTGGTACAATCTAAAGTTTAAACTTCATTGGAAACTATCTAAGCACAAACTCTTCTTAAGCAGTCCTGCAGAGGACCTAATGACATAAATAAATACAAGACCAATTCCTAATGGAGTTTGGACTCCATGTGTGAGAAGCTTAACACAGGCAAAGAAATAAATTAATCTATTCTTCAGAGGAGGCATTTCTCAAGGAACATTTAACCAGGGACTAGTCAGAAGCAAAGCCAAACCAGTTTTGTTCTGATTGAATAGATCTGTTTTGGAACATATTTTTATTACATAAAATAAGCTCAAAAATGATCAGGAGTATTTCTTCTCACTACTGAGACTGATCCTGTGTACTATGCTTTATTTTCTGAAGTTTCCTAGAAAGAGTTTCCTGGAATGTAACATCATTTCTTCATTTCTCCCATGGGACAGATACACACGTGCATATGCACACACACAAATAATATTAAAAGAAAAAAAAATAAATAAAAATGTGTGATGGGTATCTCCTGTAGAAACAAGTATGATGCTCCTGGTGTGTACTTTCATGTGTGCACGTAAAGGAAACATACCTAAGTAACAAAGCTGTGTTCACAACCAAAAAGTCAAGAGGGCTTGAGGGGGCTTCCTCTCCTACAGGGTGGCAAAGAGGGAAAGGAGACGGCAGCTCTGCGGTGCAGCCCCAGCATCCAGGAGGTTCCCCCTGGTTACCTATTAATCCCCCTAACGCATTCTTTCCTTTCCCTGACGTGAAACTCCTGGTGCACACCAGAGAGCTAAATTGTTTCATCTGTCCCGGGCAAGCCCAGATCTGGCTGAAGCAGCGAGCCACCCAGGTGCCCTCAGTGACTGGGGGGGATGCAGGTGCGTGGGGCGGCTGCTGGCTGCCTTTAGACTCGTTTTGTTACATCAGCAAGAGTGGACCTTCGTGCCTTTGCTCCCTCCCCCAGCCGGTTTTTGCTGTGCCTTCACCTCTCTCCTCCTCCCCCACCTTCCTCCCCTCCACTCGCAGCGCGCCCCTCCTTCCGGGCTGCCACCCCTCCTCTTCCAGTCACAGGCTTTAAAACTTGTTAAAAGCTCTCCCCGCGTTCCAAGTTAGAAAAAAGTTTTACGAGGTATCAGCACTTTTCTTTCAAGGCAGGATGAAAAATACAAAGCGCTAGACTTTTAAAGTTTAAATAGACAGGTCTGAGTGCCTGAACGTGCTCTTCCATTTTACTTTAACCCTCCAAGAAGTATTCTGATCCAGTTTCACTGCTGATCAGCAAGGGTAAGTTGAAAGTTTTCCTTTTTCATCTGTTTGGGTATCACTTTTTCTGAAAACACTTTTCACCCTGAGAATTTGTGTTACTCAGCTGAGGGAAGAACTTGTTTAAAAATACACATCTATAAAAGCCTAAGTTCTCTTAAAGTGCTGGGCTCAAACTTGTAGGAATTCTTCTGGGCTCATTCTTGTAGGAATGCGGTGATCTTTAGCTGCAGGGCTGAGTTGCAGACTTGTTGCTCGTGTTTGGGTGAGATCCGTCCGTCCTTCGTCTGACTTACATGGGCTCCTTTAAAGAAAAAGCCGAGGTGCTCTCCAGTCTCCTCGTGTTTTACTGAAATTGCATCAGGAGTTGGTACCTTGTCCTGGGTGCCCCACACATTTTGCTTTCATATGGAAATCCTGACTGATGCCTACTAGTTTGTGCAGAGCAAAGTTCTTAATTAGGTGCTTTGTTAAATGCTGCAGCTACCGAAGTGGTGACTTTCACGTGGTCTTTCTGATAAGTTTTCTCCTTTTTCTTTAAAATAGATGTGATGAAATCCAGACGTAGGTTATGGATTTTTAACCTGCTTTGTATATAGTTACTCTGTTTTAGCAACCTCGGTGAGGGATTTTAGAGAAGGAATGTGAGATACCATGATATGCCTTACCACGTTGGCAATGTCTGAAAGTTTTGGGTGGATATAAATGAAAGTTGTCTAGGAAGAACTGGGGAAGAATATCCACGATATGTGTCATAATCCCTATGTGACTCATTGTCTTTATATTACCTGGAAGGCTAAAATACCGAAATGCAGAGGGGAAAAAAAACAAAACAACCAAACAACAAAACAATAAAAGCAAAACAAAACAGCGCTTGAGCAGCATCTCTTGGAGAACTAAAGAGCTTTTTACATTGCAAGGCTTGGAGTGATTCCTTATAGCGATTGCTGCCTGCTGCTTGCCAGTAGTTAAAAGAGCAACACGAGGAGGCAGGGAAAAGAGCCTTCAGCTGAAAGACGAAGCACTGAGTCTATCTTATCAAGTAACACGTTCTCCTCTTAAGCAAGAATATTGTGTGCTTACGTGTGTCCTCACATTTTGTCTTGAGATAACCAGCGAGCCTCTTGGAATGGCATATTTCGCCTGAGGAGTTGCTTTAGTCTTTTTGTACGAGAGATTTATGACGGAAACCCCCGGTAACTGGGACAAAAAATGGGGCCGCAGACACCTTGTGCCTGACTTGTGTGTGTGCGTGCGCACAGGGAGCAAGTTGGAGGACTTGCGTGAAGCTTTCATCCTGCCATTTTTAACATCTGGACAGCACACTGCACTGCAGAATTTAAGCCTCTAGTCTTTGGGATGTTTACTGAAGTGTTTCCTTTAGAAACTTCAAAGCCAGACACTGGCACTGACCCATGATACCTAACAAGCATACAAATGGGAGAGGGGTGAGCAGCAGGCTGGGTTCAGGAGAGGGAAGAGAGGGACACAAGGGGTTTGATTTGTGACAGAAATCTCAGTGCTCCTACGGTCAGCAGCACAAACAGCTTCAACACTATAAAGTTATCTCGGCTCCCATATTGTGCAAGACTGAAAGATTAATTTTATTTGTCTCTGAAATGAAGGTCAGTTTAGGCCAAGGATTCCAGTGGGCATGAGGAAGGTTAGATGACATTGAGCAACGTGTCTGTTTCATCAGATACATTGCTGTCTTTCCCCCACCCTCTGGTATCTCCTCCCCCTGTTACCCACTGAATTTATCTCTCACTAAGCCCCCGATCTGTTGTTTATGCCACGCGTATGTTCTGGAAATTCAGATTTCAAAATCTGTGAGCATCAGAGGGCCCGAGGGCCTCTCAGGGAGTTGAGCGATTCTTCTCTTAATTCCAAAGTGAGTCAGGAGAGGGATGAATCTACGCAATACACAGACTTGTACAACTACAGAATGTCTGAGAAAGTGCTTATGGTTGCTTTTGGTCCTTTTCAACTATGCTTTAGAATGAAATTGGGTGGAGAAGATAAAGGTGAGGCAAAGGCTAGGGGTTTGATCTGCTGGTGTCTGACCACCAGACGTTCTAGCAGGCAATGAAAAAAGCACACATTTTTGATACTTCTGAATTCTAGGTAATGCAGCCATTTAGTGCATAATCTTTAACCGGTAGATGAAACAAACTGAAGCTCATCTGTGAAGCTATAAATTACCTTCACAGGGAAGTGTCTGGAAAACATTTAATGATTCTTGAAGATTTCAGAAAACTAGCTTTCCTCATTCCAGCCCATCCAAACCCTCTCAGTTTTTCACATCAGCTGCTTTCTCTGCTATGCGGGTTGCTTTTGGGAGCTACAGAAGCTGATTGATGTTCAAGGTCTGGAATATTCTCTTTTGTTGGCTATTTATATGTGTAAGCACACAGGAAAAAGGCAGGAAAGGTAGGAAAACCAAAACTTTGGCCTGTTTCCCTCAGCTGCAAAATCCCATTTTAGATCCCGCTCTAACCCTTACTGCTCTTGCATCCACAAGCTTGTGACCTTGTAACACTGTAGTAGAACCTAGGCATATTCTAAGAGCATTGAATTTGCATTATTTGCAAAAATTAAGAAGATGACATGATGAATGCTGTCCATAAAAAAAAAAAAAAAAATAGTTCTAGAATTTTTAATTGTTGCTTACAAATCAAATTTCTTATATGTGGTCATCCAAAAACCCACGCAGATGAATGCTGTCGCATCTGCTGCTCTGTGCCTTTTTTTTCCCTGTCTTTGCACACACAGTAGGACCTGGAATAAATCCATCTTTTAAAGAGTTTACTAGTCTGGCATTAGTCCATCTTAGAAACAGGTTGTAATCCTGTAAAGTAATAATTAGTAAGAACTCTTGAAACACAGTTCAGCATCATCAGTCATGTCCTTAAATTCCCGAAGTACTGAAATTGTACCAAGCAATCGGGTCAACCTGTGTCTTTCAGTGGACTCACTTGAAGTGTTTGAAGTGTTAAGAGAAGTTTAAGTCCTGAATGCTGAAGAACTTTTCTTTCATCTATTTCAAACTATTTACAAAGCTAGAATACTTAAATAAGTGTTTGATACAAAACTTCTGTTTAAACCTAGTAAACAGATATTGTTATTAGTTAATAAAAATGGTCTTTCGTTTCCCCTAAAGTAAACAATTTAGATCCAATGAATGGATTTTCTCTACAACGAAACAAAGTACTGTGTTTCATAAAGCAACAGAATCCACTTAAGCAAAGGAGTAATATATTTGTGCCACCACAAGGTCATCTGATTAACAGTACAATGTTTTGAATTGATGTGGGGCTTTTTATCACTGGCAAAGACTAGCATGTAACTCATCTCTTTAAAAATGTTGCTTTTCAAAACTATGTATGAGTAATTCAAGCATGGAATGTTTCCTTTTGGCATTTATATTGCCAGAGGACATAAACGAAACTTAGCAATTTTGCATGCTGAAGCAAATTAAAAAATAGGTAGTAAATTCTCAAAATATTTTAGGTGTGGGGTTAAGTAGGTCAAAACTGAAGTAAATTATGTTGCATTAATGGACCAAAGTGGAGCATAATTAAAAAGCAAACAACACATAACTGCCTAGAAATAACATGTCCTCTGTTCTCTCAATCAAACTTTCAATCTGAAGCAACATTTAGACAGTAAAAAAATACATCGAGTCTGAGGAAAGTCTGCTAATGCAGTAGTTTGGGATAATCTGAAAGCTGACTAATTAAATCAAGAAGTTGTTACTTGAAAAAGGTTCCTTCTGTCCACTTCTAGGACACAGAGCAAATAGCTCGCCTTTAAAACAAACTTTACATGTTGTATAGTTACAGGCTGTTCTCTGTTTCAACAATCCCAGCCTGAGGAGGAACGTGGTCACATTTCATTCCAGCCTTTCCAGAGACTTCCACACTGGTGTGCCCGACTCTTCCTCTGCCACCTTGAGCTTATAAAGACAAGCTTGCCTTTCCTGGGAAGGACCAAAGCTAGGGATGGCTGAAGGGGTGTTGCAATCATCCCTCCCAGCGCAGGCTTCCAGATGGAAAAATCTGAAGCAGGCCTGGTCCTTTGATGGGGTTTCATTTATGTGAAGACCTAATTACATGGGGAAGGGTCTGCACTCCACAGTGGAAAAGCTTCAGAGCAGGCTGTCTCAGCAGGCTGAGGAAACAGCCTTGAGATGTTTTGCAGGGGTTCAAAGATAATTGGCATTTTGGAGCTGTTGGAGCGAGCACTTTAAACACTTGTCTCCCATTGCTTGCTCAGACTCTTTCCGATATGGTGTGTTTTTATTTGGCATCTGTTGTTATGATTGAATTTGCCAGACTTACAATCTTCTGTTTCCAGTGACTCACTGCTTCTTGAAAGAAAATCTCCCTGGTGGTAAAATTTCCTATTTTATGAATTATCCAAAAAGGACTTTTTCTATAAATGACCTTCGCTAGGGACTATATCCGTGATGCAATGGGAAGGAAATAATTTGCACATTATCGAAGCTATTAATACCAGGAAGGCATTACTCAGCATGCAGGGAACGAATATCTATACCCAGCAGCATCTGCTTGAAAAGGGAAGCTTTGTGATTGTTTTTGAAGTGCCTGATTTCACATGCTTGTTCATGTGGGGCCAGTTAAAATGTAAGTTTTTATGCAGATAAGATCACTATTCTCACATTGATAAAAATCCTATTGTGAACTTTGTTTTTCCTAGGACTCTAGGACATCAAGTAAACCCTTTCATTTGTTTTATATAATACTGTGTTATTTCCAGATATCCCAGAGAAGAGCTGCCTGTGTCCCAGAAATACGCACTTTAAAGCTCAAGTAGAGAGAGAATAAATTCACTTGCAGTGTTCAACACTTGGAATGCAAACTGTGCGCCAGGAGTTGCCTTAAAAACAGAACGAGCTCATTTACCTTTTCTTCTTGCTAAATCTTTTTCCTTTCAAAACAAAGCAAAGGAATTTAAATACAAAAAGATGCAAATACAAAGCTGAAACTACAATAAATTAAGCAAATCCTAGATAAACAGGAAACCAGTTGCTCCAATATGGTAACATGAGCTTTGCTGTGCTTCATGCATTTACTATTTTTTGTTCCTTCATAAAAGTATAGGTAAAGAATACTAATTTTGATCTTCATGCTGCAAATACTGATGTATGAACTATTTAGATAGCAAGTTTTTTCAGAAGTTGAGTATAGTATAAACTAGGCTTCATTAGGAACTAGAGTCTTAAATGTGCTACACGCAATGCAGTGATATGCAAGAGCTTAGTTTAATCTTGCTGTAAGAAAAATAGCACATATTTCACAATGATAGAAGTTTGGGCATCTGACCCTAACATTAGCTTAATGTAACCTTTTGTATTTAGCTTATACTGTGGCTTGCTTTCATTTTGTCTTACAGAGTTAACAAAAAAAAAAAAATGCTATGAATGATCCACACTGAAAGAGAGACATTTTTCCTTGATTCTTAGCATATTCAGGCAGTGTTGGTAATTTCTATGCCCTGCTTCAGGTGGGTGTCAGTGGCTTTCTACTTGAGGCAAGTAAGTGTAGGTTGTTGAAGTGAGGGTGCCACCAAGGAAGCCCAGCCATCCACAGTGGCAGCTGAGCGTTGTCATGGACTTCTTGAAACCTGGAGTGGAATTGGAAACCTCTTTTTTCATTGTACGCTCAGACATTATATGTCACCCTGACTTCCCACTCCACCTGCAGACTAAACCCTAGTTTCTCTTCAGACCTGTAAAACAAATTAATTAAAACAAAGCTGACATCACTGCTCTATCAGTATTGATCTGTGATTGAGTGTTATCAAAGGTATTAAAACTCTGTCTTAACTGTCACTTTTTCTTTTTTCTTTTTTTTTTTTTCTCCTTTCTTTCCTTTAGCCAACATCCTGTGAAGATGGGTGATTGGAGTGCCTTGGGAAAACTTCTTGACAAGGTTCAAGCCTACTCTACTGCAGGAGGGAAAGTATGGCTGTCTGTCCTCTTTATTTTCCGAATCTTGCTGCTGGGGACAGCAGTCGAATCTGCTTGGGGAGATGAACAATCAGCTTTCCGGTGCAACACTCAACAGCCTGGTTGTGAGAACGTCTGCTATGACAAGTCCTTCCCCATCTCCCATGTACGCTTCTGGGTTCTGCAGATCATATTTGTGTCTGTACCTACCCTTTTGTACCTAGCACACGTGTTCTATGTAATGAGGAAAGAAGAGAAACTGAACAAAAGAGAAGAAGAGCTCAAGGTGGTTCAAAATGATGGTGTGAATGTGGATATGCACCTCAAGCAAATAGAAATTAAGAAATTCAAGTATGGGATTGAAGAGCATGGCAAAGTGAAGATGCGTGGGGGACTGCTCCGTACTTACATCATCAGCATCTTGTTTAAATCTGTCTTTGAGGTGGCTTTCTTGCTTATACAGTGGTACATTTATGGGTTTAGCCTGAATGCCATCTACACCTGTGAGCGAGACCCGTGCCCGCACAGAGTGGACTGTTTCCTCTCCCGTCCAACTGAGAAAACCATCTTCATCCTCTTCATGCTGGTCGTGTCTCTGGTGTCTCTTGCCTTGAACATCATTGAGCTTTTCTACGTGTTCTTCAAGGGTGTCAAGGATCGTGTGAAAGGGAAAACCGACCCATACTCCCACAGTGGTGCCATGAGCCCTTCTAAGGACTGCGGCTCCCCCAAATACGCTTATTACAATGGCTGCTCCTCCCCGACTGCCCCCTTGTCTCCCATGTCTCCTCCAGGGTACAAGCTCGTTACTGGAGACAGAAACAATTCCTCCTGTCGTAACTACAATAAGCAAGCCAGCGAGCAAAACTGGGCCAACTACAGCGCGGAGCAGAACAGAATGGGGCAGGCTGGCAGCACCATCTCCAACTCGCACGCCCAGCCCTTCGACTTCTCTGATGAGCACCAGAACACTAAAAAACTGGCGTCGGGACATGAGCTGCAACCTCTCACCATCGTGGACCAGAGACCTCCCAGCAGAGCCAGCAGCCGAGCCAGCAGCAGACCTCGACCTGACGACCTGGAGATCTAAGCTTCTAGCTGCAATACTTGTTCAACTATGAAATGACATGCATTGAAAGATGCAGTCAGTGCTGATCTTGTTCCAGTCGAGGTGGTACTTAAGTCTCAAGCAGGAGATTTTAACAATCATAAAAACAAACAAGCAAACAAACTTTTAAAATACTTGCTGTTTTTGGGGGGGATGTGGGGTTGGTGTGGGGTGGTACAGTACACATTGGTATTTAATGTAGCTGGTTTAAAGAATTTAAATACTAAAAAAACAAAGGAAAAAAAAGGAAAAAGATAGGTAGTCAGTACTAAGGTAGAGGGTTGTTTTTCTAGAAAAGCTGTAAATATCTGAGTGTATGTGTGTACTATCATGTTTGTTTCTAAAGAATCTTCTGTAATACTAAAACCCAATAATAACTGAACTCACGTTTGTCAGGGTGAAGTGCTGCCTGAAGATGAAAACCTTTTTCCTATTCAACAAGCAAAAAAGTCCAGGATTGCCTCTGATCATTTCCCTGTCAAGAACATTCCATTCTTAGAAAGTGCACTTTGAAGGTAAACTTTCATATGTGGTCCTCTAGTTTGTCTAAAGGCTCCCATGAGGACAATCTACAGCCTTTGAAATATTCAAATCTAATTTCAGACATGGCCCACCAAGAAATACTTTGGTTACCTGCTTTTCCAGCCCTTCATGCAGGTAGATTTTGTAATGTAAGTGGGATGGCTCCACACTTGTAGAACCAGCAACCACAGTCTCTTGCCCACGGCGGTATTCGTGTCCTGCTGCTCACGTATAGTCTAATTAGCATCATATAAAACTCAGTTTGCTGCAACTTGCAGATTTAAGCCTTGAGACAGGCAAGCAACTGCCTTCAGTGAATTTTATCACACCTTTATGTACATTGAGGGTATACACATTTTTAGATGTGGAGGTAAAAGTATACACAAAACAGTCTTGAAAGCATACGTTGAGAAATAAATGCACACCAATTACTTGCAGTTGACACTTTCTCATGGATGTTGTGGAGATGTGGGCCACTGTGGTGTTTACATTCTCTGATTCCTTCAATGCAAGTGAAGCACGTCATTATATTTTTTTAATTCTATAGAAGATTTTTCATGTATCCTAAATGGATGCTTTTTTAAAAATAAAAAAAAAAAAATAAGGGCCTAATCCTGGATGTCTTGCTCTGGAAAGTCTCTCTTTTAAGTGAGTGGGAGTTTTGCCTGAACAAAGGCTACAGGATCAAGCCCAAGATGTAGCGAACCATGTTCTTGCTGGCATGAATTATTTTCTTTTGTAGAAGTTAGGGGTGGGAAAGACCCATTAGGTCATCTAGCCAATCTCCCTGATAGGTAATAATGATGCTTGAATGATAGAAGGTGTAGTACTGTAAGCAAGCTTTAGTCCTTTATGTGAGAACTTAGGAGAAATGCTTTGTGCTGGATTAATAATAAAATATGCCTACATGACTTTTGCAGTAACTGGTATTTTTCTTGTTCTAAGTATTCACATTTACTGAGCTTTAAAGTTCACTCTGAGTTTGACAGTTAGGTCTTTCTAGATGGCTCTAGCAACTTTTAGTGTTTACACTTAGATTTTGTTTGAAACGCAAATGAAGTTGAAAGGATTTTTTAAAGAGTACAATTCTAGCTAATTTATTTGAAATATATGCTAAAGAAATCTACCAGTTTCTTCAAATGCATTGCCTCTTAGCTGAACACAGATTGACCAAGGAAATACATGGCTTGGTTTCATTTTGCAGCAACACAGATAAATTGTTTCATTTAATACATTATATTAATTTGTTTGACATTCCATGTTAAGCTACTGTTGTGTTCAACTTCATTGCATGTATGCAATCATAGTCCATCAGATCATGTTGTCTGGAGAACATTAGTCAATAAAGTTTTAATTTAGTATAAATATATTTTCTAATTGTCTTTTACTGTTACATATATGTATATATCTTTTGTTTCAGTCTTATAATCCAAAATTCTTCCATTCCTCTTAACTTTTCCCCAGTCACTCTGCATTTCAGCAGTATTCCTGGTTTAAACTATCCAGATTTACCTGGAAGTGAAATTTCACAGGACCAGATTCAGAAACCCTCACAACACTAGAAAACTAAACATTGTTTGTGCCACTCCTGGAACAAAGTCATACTCAGCATGAACTACTGTAATTTGAATCTTGTCATGAGCCTCAGAAAATTGCCCTCTATTTGCTTTAAAATATTAACTATTATAAAAAAAAAGGTAGTAGTAAGATGCTATCATATAATTTTTTCAAACAATTTTTATGTATAGCATAGATTCAACATTATAAAATCATTGCCTGTGGTTTATATTTCCCCGTGTAATCACATTGCTTGTCTGACAATTTCAGTATCTAGAATGAAATCCTCATTTCTTCAGAGACAATAGGAGAAAGGTACTGATTTTGATACGGCTGGGATTTCACCTACTGTCTACTGCTTCACCTTTTAGGTCACTATCACTAATGAAGATATACAGTGTTTGGCTTGCCAGCATTGGACTCTAAAGGGAAGATAGTTCAACTTTTTTTTTTTAATTTGAAAAATCAAAATATAATGGTCATGCAGTTATCACACAGCTTTCTACTTTCAAATTTGCTTGTCACTTTAGGTCCAAATTCTTCCTCCTCCTAAGTAAGGAAGGGTGAAAAATAATAGGGGCATTAGTAGTGGAATTACAGCTCTGAGAGATACTACACAAGCACTAGCACAAGGAACGAGTCCTTTAAGTATTCCTTAAATAATAATCATATTTAAGCTGGCTTGTCCTAGTTTGTATGTACAAAGGGAAGGGTATTCCAAGCGTTTGGTGAAGATCATACCCTTGGAAAGGTGGGGCTTACCCTAGGACAAAATCTAGTGTCTCCTAGACAGGCTGATTGTCAGGTATATCCCAAGCTATGGTCTCTGTTCCTCAGGGCATCTTGGACAACTGATACAAACTACCTCTTCGTTGCCAAGGCATTCCAAGTTTTTTTGTTTTGGTTTCGTTTGGGTTTTTTTTGTGGTGATGCATGTGTGTGCATATGTAGCATAAAGACATCCGTGAGCCTTTTCTCCCACTTAGATTTATTTGTGGACTGTGTTTTTTACAGACTTAAAAATCATCACCGGGATATAACTGTGCCGTTCATCCAGTTCTTTATACGTGTCTTCCTAGAGCACCTTTGCAGCAGCAGTTTCATTGTCTGCAGCTGCAAAAAAATAATGTGTGATATAACACTAGTGCATATTTCTCAGCCTCTGTAGGAGGATGTTAGATATTGAATTCAAATTGTAAAAGATACTGTAAAAATGTGCATCTCTAAAGGTATTTAAAATAAAAACAAGGTTACAAACAAAAGAGCAAGAAAACCCCAATTCAAACCCTGTGAAGTATTAAAAATTTGCGTTGGTGTTCTGTGTAGAAGTATTTTGAAAGAAAGTGAATTAATCCTAAGGCATCCACCCTGTACCAGTAATTTGAAATGTTTGTAAAGAGTAAGCATAGAAGAAGTTAGAGACAGCCTAAAATGTATATGCAGCTCACGTAATTTCAAGTTGTTTTTTTTAAATACAGTGGTTACACACTGAAGTTTATTTTCTAATTTAGAAATGAAATTTCCATATTTTAAGTGGATACTGCAGTAATAGTTTGAGAACTGGAACAAAATTTCTAATTGTTCCCCTCAAGCCCCCTGAAATGGGTAATTTTAAAATTATGTACTTGACTGCAGCTTACCTCTGTGCTGGTGTTTCCCTTAGAACTTCTCAGCAGCTCGTTATCGCTTCCAAGAAGGGGGGAGGGAACGTAGGGTTGATATAGAAGGTAGAGTTTTGCAACTCGGCTCTGGGAGTTGATCCAAATCTGAAGTTACCCTGACTGGTTAATGTGGAGTTTTGGATATGTCAAAACCTCCTCCAGTTTTGGTGGCTGCTGTTCCTACCCCACTGGGTCAGGACTAATTTTAATTTTTCTTGTAATTCCTCCATGATTACTACTGCTTCCTTTTTCCAGAATTTAAACAAAACTGGGCAGAATATAGGATTTGCTTGTCTCCTGTATAACTTCTTTTTCTCTATTTTCCCATAATCCAAAACTGGAAGGACTGGGCTTTCTACTGAGCTCATGGACTATCCCTGATATACAGTGTATTTTTTTAACACAGTGGGTTGTACTAATGGCCAGAAATGGTGAGATTGACCATAATCTCCTTGAAGATTTCTTTCTTGTCTTCTCATGCTATTCACTCCAGCTAGATCTGCCAAAGGATTCTGATGACTGAGGTGAGGTTCAAGACCCTTGAGGATTTCTCTGGCAAAAAAAAAAAAGCAATATTCTGATGGTACAGAGCTTTTGAATCTACTCCTACATTACTTTCATTTCTACTGCCAACAGAGACAGTAAGGTCAGAAGCATAATCCATGTCTGAGAAACCACTAGCTGGACGTATTCTCTGGCCCAGTCCCTTGAAACTACACAAGGGTCCTCCATATTTATTTATTTATTTATTTATTCTAACATAATGGCTTCTGAAACATAGGTCTGTCAGATCAGCCCTGCAAAGAGATGACTGCCTTTCCCTGACATAAACCACGTGCTTTTGACTGTGCCTAAGGACATATTTGCACCCAGACTCTGCCAGTCCTGGAAGGTGTGTCAGATGAAAATTACATGATGCTAGCACATCACTAGGTTGAAACAGGAAGAACTTACTGGCTCCTGTACTTACTTAAAAGGTATTTTGATAGACACAAAAAAGAATGTTTGTCTTATATTTGTCTTAAATACGTCCAAACTTACAACACTATCCAGAGACCCTATGAAGCAATACAGACAGCGTGCTTATGTACATGGTAAGCATTATCTATAGCTACTATGTCTAGAAACTGTTCAGGTAGATACAGCTGCTCAATAACCTGGTAAGGCCAACTGCCTCGAGCAGGGCTGGCCTCACTTTTGTCGTGGTAGCCAAAATGCTGCATCTGGCTTACTGGCTTGCTGGAATTTGCAATGCAAAGGCACGTTGGGTGAAGACAGACCTGTTCTTGCAGTGATCATTTTGTGTTAAGTCCTTTTAAATGCAGAAGAAGCTGGGAGCAGAGGGGTCTGATACCAGTTGTACGGGGTTAGGAACGCACAGCAAAGGGAGTCAATCCATCAAAAGTGATGGCTTTCTGCTTGGTGACTGTGGACTCTCCCATCACTTAAAAAGGCCAGGTCTCTGCTACCGTGTTGTGCAAATGTGCATACC